GAAAAAGCGGGGGTTGTATTTTGTTGGAGCCAAACCCCCCCCCCCCCCCCCCCCGCAAGCAAGCATAACCACACTGTACACTGGGTTTGAACTTCACTCGTGGTGCTGCGAGGCATGAACCGTAAGTCCTCAGGAGGTACCAAGAGGCTTTCGTTTCTGCATGGCTTCTGGGTCTGCGTGTCGAGCTCGGATGTGGCCCTGGGTTAAATCTATTCTGCAAAACAGTGTCAGGGCTGAGCAGGTGAGAGAAGTCCTCGGAATACCATAGCTGGGGTTGTGGGGATTTGGGGATTTGAGTTCATGTTCAGCCAGAATGGCTTCCTTCTGCATAACATGCAACCCCAGCAATAAGGTTGGTAGTGAGTATCTCTCTGGATTGCTGCCCGTTCTCCCCTGGTAGGGACCATATCTCCATCCTATGATCCACTCCATCTTTCTGAAAACAACTCTAGGCTATGCCTGTAAAACCTCCTTCAAGAGGCCTAGAGGCTTCTGCCTGGTGATGCGTTCCTTGGGGAGCAAGAGCCAAGGTCTTCGTCTCTGCTGCATCAGCACGTGGAGCAGGGCCAGGAGGCATTGGAAGGCCATCGTGAGCCCATGCTGGCTTTCACAGATGCTGTGTGCAGACCGTGTTGGTAATCAGAGATTTGCTGTACCCCTGCCTGTGTGATGCAATGGGGCTGTCTCACCATGCTCAAGGCCATGGAGAAGGAAGCAACGTGCAAACTGCCTTGAACCTTTCAGGAATAAGGGGAGATGCTCCTGGCACCTGGGAATGGTCTTGTACTTGCCAAGCTGGTGTTGCGTGTCTTCACGGAAGCTTCTGCATCTTCACGTAAGCTCAGCTTCTGGTGACTTGTTCAGCTTCTGGCTTTAAAAGATGTGACTTGATTTTAAAATTTTGGAAAAGCTGTGGCCAGTGATCACTTTTGGACTTCAGTGCATTTATGAAGGTGTCATTAGTGACCTGAGAGTTGAGGAGAGCTGTGGAGCAGGGTGATGGGTGGCCGCTGTTGAGATGGAGGGAGGAAAAAAGGAGTAACTGGGAATGCCCCGATAAAATGTGAAGCTGAATGAAGATGGGGAGGGTTCTGTGTTTAGAGGGGGATCAGGGTCAGAGGGAGAGACTTGGCATTACTATGTGAGTATCAGCAAAGACATCTGCCCAGCTGGGGCACCTTAAATCCAGGTGAGGATGAACTGGGTCTGGGGGTGCCATATTTTTAGGAGCAAATACCTGGGTTAAGACACCTAGGGTAAAGAAACAAGGAAGAAGTGGAGAAAAATAGCAGAAGAGTGGTGGAAAGAGAGAGACATGGGACTTGAAGCAGAGCTACATAACTGGTGATTCAAGGCTATGAGCAAGGGTGGTGGTCTGCTTCTGGAGCCTGAAGCAGCCTTGTGCATCTGGGGTGAGGTCTTCTCAGCGTTAGATGCTTGATCATGCAACAGATAGCCTTGAAACCTTCAAAACCAGTTGGAAATAAGTGGTTTTTTTCCCGTCCTTGTGTACTGTTTGGAAAATACTTCAAGTAACAAGCTTGAACTTCTTTAAAAAGTACTTGGGTGAGTGAGGAGCACCAGTTCTTCGCTAGACCTTGTGCTCTGAGTTACTTCACTGCAAATGCTTCTGGGAGGGTCAGCCTCAGGTGTGGTGCTCATGCCAACTGCCTGTGGCCGATGCAAACTGCTCTGTAAAATGCTGAGGCTGATGAGGCGTGATGAAGCAAGAGCCTGTCCTGCCACTGAACCAGGAACCAGGTGGTTCCCTCTGTACCCCTGGGGCGTTGCAAACAGGCGTCCATCTGCAAGAACTGAGGAATGACGGACTTGGGGGGACATTCCTGGGTAAGGACTGTGCTGCTGGGCTGGGGAGGGGGGGAATGAAAGGAGCTGGTAATTCCTACAAATGACTGTGATTCCTCCTGCTACTGCAACTCAATGAGCAATTGCGTAATAATGTATTTAGCTGAAATACTGTCAAAATCCTTCCAATGACTGTCTGACATCTGCCCAATACCAGCATGTCTTAATGTCAGGAAAAGGGTTGGAGAGAGGACTGGAAGTGACTCAGATAAGAGGTGTTTAAAAGTACATGAGGCTCATACATCCTATGATAGCATTGTCCTGCTCCTATCTCTTTCCCCCAGGATGGTCACCTGGACTTAGGGGGATTTAGGGTCCTTAAAACTCTCCTAGGACCTTTGACTACTTATGTGGGTGAAAATAGTGAACATGTTGGGCAAGATTAAACTGTCCCATGGGAAGTGATAGCCGGCAGCAGAAGGGAGGAAAACACGGAGGAACTGAAGTTTCTAAGTGTTAATGATGTCTGTTCTACGTCAGCTCTTTAACGAGGTCGGTAGTACGGACAAGCCGGGAAGGATCCCACCTTGCTGTGCAGTGTAAATGCAAGGTGGTCAGTGGTTTGTGGGTGCTGGGGGAACGGGGAATGTTTGTGGACCCAGGAGTGGTCTAATGCCAAGTGTGTTTATCGTAGTCCCACTTTCAAGGAGCGATAGGCAGTGTGGTAAGGGGAGCACTGGGCAGTGGGGAAGTTTAGGTTGGATATTAGAAAAAACCTCTTCACCGAAAGGGTAGTCAGGCACTGGACCAGGCTGCCCAGGGAAGTGATTGAGTCTCCATCCCTGGAGGTATTTAAAAGACGTGTGGATGTGGTGCTTAGGGACATGGTTTAGTGGTGGACTTGGCAGTGATAGGTTAACGGTTGGACTCGATGATCTTAAGGGTCTTTTCCAACCTTAACGATTCTATGATTCTGTGAAGGTGTGGGTGAGGAATGGGGATTGGGGGGTGGGTATGCAGCAGAGCTGAACTGCATGGGAAAGGGGATGGACAAAATAAAAGTAAAAAAATGGAGTAAAGTAAAAGATCCGTGGTAGAAGTTGGAAGGATCAAGGAAAACACTCTTGTTTCCTCCTGTCCAAAGGTCCTGGCTTCCAGGTGCTGCTCAGCCCCTCCTGACTGGAGGAGCCAGGGGGGTTACAGCCGCTGTACCCCCCGGCTGGAGAACGTGCGGCCACCAGCATGGAAGCGGGGCGGTGGAGGCCGGTGGCTGCTGTGCTTGCCCTGGTGTTGATGGTGTTTGTACAGCGTTGGTGACGCGGTTGGCTGTGCCTGCGCTGGCTGGTCTGAGCGTGTCTGCTGGGCTGGTGGGAAACCTTGAAGACTCGCTGGCTCAATGCTTGTAGAGCTATTTTAGTTGTCTGCAATGCAGCAGTGGGTGTAGAGGCAGTTTTGGAACTACTTAGGCATTTGTCTTTGTGTCCAAGTGCCTTTAAAAACCTAGTCCTTGTGACTTTTTTTTTTTTTAAAAAAGTGACTTTAGTTACTTCTGAAAACACTATGTTAAGTCATGTTTTAAGAAGTGGCTGTTGGTTTTTATGTGGCTTTTCAACAGCTTGCATGCTCTGAAAAGACAAATTGTCTCTGTGTGCAAGAAGGCAGCTCTCAGCCGGTGCGATACCCGCTGCTGCCTCGGCAAGCAGGCAGCATGGGACTGGCTGCTCTCCTGGGGCCGCGAGAGCTGGCGTGGGGAAAGAGGAAAACTAGTAAATAAAAAAATAAAGTGATCATTTCAGTTTGATAAAGCTAAAAGCCCATGGAGAGGTAAGAACGCCTGAAGGTGTGGAAATAGTTTTGTGATAGAGAGAGCAGCAGCTGTTGTAGATACTGGAGGGGTCATGGCCTTGAAACAACCTGCTGTGCCTTGTCCCTGGTCGGGACCAGCAGAAGTGTGGTGTGGGGCGGGAGCGTACTGTGCTCTCGTACAGCCTGGGGTGCTTTGGCCCCTGGACACGAAGTCCTGGACGTGGCTGTCAGCAGTGGGATGGTCGTGTGTTAAGGCTGCTGCAGGGTGGGTTCTCCCTGGTATGCCCAGCTGGGGTAGGAGGAGGGCTGTGTTTTTGGGGAAGTTAGTCCCAGGAAAGCCGCCTGCTCATCTGGGTGAGCCTAGTGAAGTACCAAGCAATTTTGCCAGTAGTAAAGGTGTTGTAACAGCTCAAGAGGAATTGTGCTGCTTTCATTTGCCCTACAAATGGAGATCTTTGCATGCAAGATCTTAGGATACCTAGACAAAAGACAGTGACTGAAGAGAGAGGATATAAAGAGCCGCAAAACACTAGATGCTGTGGTGGGATAGCAGGGAGAAGGAAGAAAAGCAGCAATGTAAATGAGACGAGAAAAGCCAGTGGTGTGCAGTTGGTAATTTTACTTTTAGGGCAACCAGAAGCAATTGGCACAGCAGGATGTGAAATCAGCAGCCTAAATGATGGGGGTGATGTTCGTACAAGGGAACAAGCTCTATCTAAATGCTGCAGCCCGTCCTTGTTTTTCTGTTCAAGGAGCTTGTTTAGCTTTCATGGCTTTGACGTGCTTACTGCCTGCTTAGGATGTTTCCATGGGTCTCTGCTGGGTGGGAGAGTGCATCGGTGGTGTTTTGGGGACAGGACGGGTGCAGGGAGACTGATGCTTCCTTTTCCCTCCTTTCCTGTGCAGGACGCAGGCAGAAATGGCCCACACATGTCGCGGGACCATCAACCTGTCCACGGCTCATATCGATACTGAGGACTCTTGTAACATCGTGCTTTCCAACGGGGGAAGGACGTACCACTTAAAGGCGAACTCGGAAGTGGAGAGGCAGCGCTGGGTCACGGCCCTGGAGCTGGCCAAAGCGAAAGCCATCCGCATGAGGAACAACCAGTCAGGTAGAGTGCGTCTTAGTGTGTGAACGTGCAACTGGATCCTGTTTAAAACCTCCTTGTGAACCAGCTCTTCTGTGCTTGCTAAATTGTGCAGAAATCCTGGCAGATACTATTTCATACGCGATTAAAAATAGCTGGTGGTTTCACAGAGACACAAAGGGTTTTAAACAATACTGTGTGCACCAAACATCATCTCGTCTGGTTGTGCAGCATTGAGCAGGTCTTTAAAGCCCCTGGTAATGACTGTAAATAGTAGGGAGTCAGAAAAAATGAAATAACAATACTTCTTATGGAAGGCAGGACCTATGTGCCTTTCTCCTGGCGACTTCGGGTTGGTCTGTGTGGAGGGAGATGCTGTAAGAGGCACTGAGTGCAGTGGCGAGTGGCACTCCAGGGATCACCAGTTCACCACGCAGAGCCAGAGCCATGTCTTTCTATTCACCCATAGCTTAGGATAGTTCAGTAGGTGAATGACACATACATTTAGTTGAGCTGTCTCTTTCCATGCCTATTTCCCCTTCTCCATCCTACACGCACTATGCTATGGTGTGGTATTTAGTGTGTGTTTGGGACAGCTGCATTATGAAAAGCTGTCAGAGCCCCCTGCCTGTTATGCAGCTCCTCCCCAGAGTGTCATTTTTACTGCTTTGTTGTGTAATGGATTGGTTAGGTGCTTAACAAACAGAATATTTCTAAAGAAATATTTCCATGTTCATAACTCTTCTGGGATTAACACTTGGTTTTCTTCCACAAACAAGCACAGCTTCAAGTTGCAGAAAACAAAACCCATGAATGTATTAAAAAGCTGGCTACCTCCTCTGTCCTAAAATAAAACCACTCTCAGATCTTATCTTGAATGCTGGAAATCAGGCCTTATGCAAGAGAAAAGATGTAGCGAACACCTGATTTTGTAACACTCTGCTTAAAATGAAAATGTAGCTTCAGAAAATGCCCCGTATATGTTTTAGAAAGGGAGTGTGTGAAAGTGTGACCATGGAAAGTGCTTTGGTGCAGTGCTTACGTAGCATCTTGCTGTCCTAGTCCAGGTTTTGGCTTTGGGACACCTGTAGATGCTGCTCTGTGCTATTGACTGCAGTGAATATGCATCCATGGGTAAAGTGTTCGTGAAGCTTAGCTTTCACATGGCCACTGAGGAAGGTTGTGGTTGGGTCAGTGCATCAAGAAAAACCTCTGCTTCCCCCAGGGAAACGCTGCTGCGTGCACACCAAAACCACAACGCGCCGCGGTGCGACTGCGGGGAGCAGCTCTCCGTCTGAGTGGCGGTCAAGGCTGTGTGGATGGAGACCGCTTTCTAATGCTGCTGGCTTATGAAAACACACAGTCAACATAAAATTAGTGTAACCGCATTTTTGAAAGGCAGCACATTAACGTTTGTGTACCAGTGGGACGGTCGTTTGGGATGCTGGCTGCCAGGGGTGTTGCGCAGGCAGAGCCTGTGCTTAATGTAATGTTTTGTAGAGAGCAGCAGAATGCCAGAGCGCCGACGGTTTGACTTGCAGGAGAATAAGCCCCAGTCCTGGACTAATGCGGTCTGACTTTTGTATAATTAGCCATGCCACAAGGTCAGACAGAAGTTGATTAGCCACTTACCCATTTCCCATAATTGTTTAAGTACACTGTGTTCCGGGGCACTAGCATCTACAGATTTAATTACATAAAGTATTGTGAACCCTCTGTCCCTTGATATTGCAGCTCTGGAGCGTATGTGAATGCTGACGGAGAATACAGCTGACTGAGGAGAAGATGGAGGTTTCTAGGCAAGTGTGTTTTGCCTGGCAGAGCATGACATTGTGCCAGGTCATGGCTGTAGTGAGATGGGTGTGATGGCTGCCGGTCCCGTGAACATCACTTATCCCATAGCGGGAAGCGAGTCTTTTAGCTGGGTAGGTGTTTGAAGAAGGATCTTGTGTGCTGGAGAGGTTGATGTGTGCCTTTACCTTCACCTTTCAGAATGCCGGGCTGTGGGCGATGTGAGGGCAGGCGTGGAGCGGCGCAGGCAGCTGGCTGCTGAGCTCCTGCCCAGCCCGGGGCTGCAGGAGGATGTCAGCGATGCTGCCTCCGGAGTCATGCACAGTTATTTTGGTTTGTGTCTTTACATAAAAATAGCAAATGCAGAGACTTCCTGTCTTAAGGCTCTGGACGTGCTGACTTCCTAACTTCAGTGAGCTCGGGCCATACTTTCAGAGTAAGGACAGTGCAGCAGCAGTGCTGATTTTGGGTGCAGATGCTTGTTCTGCAGTGCCTTGCAGTTGTGCTGACTCAGCTGTTTGCGGGGCAACGCTGTGATCCAGGCCAGGGAGCTGATGGGACATAAAAACCAAAACAAACTTGTTTTTCCAGGCTTTTCTGATCCACACCGAGGGGATAAGACACTCTGTAAATGGGCGCTGAGTCCTTGTGGTGTGGAGTTAGAGCTGAGGACATGGGTGAATTGTTTTACACTTTAATGTTCACTTGGCTGATGGTGTTTTCTCTGGTAATCTTTTAATTAAGGTAAAGAATGAATGTGCGTTAGGTTTGACTGTTTTGCTTGAATTGAAATAAAATTCCTAGCGTTGTGTCCCTGTGAGTGCCAGGCGTTGCGCAGAGCCCTGGCGTGGGTCTTTACAAGTGGAGGGGCGAGGCTCTGGATTTGCTGAAGCTGTCTCTAGGTCCTTCAGCTCTGTTCATGTGGGGAGTCTTCTGAGTTGATTCCTCTTACCCTGAGTGATCCCCAAAACCCGTGTGTTTCCCAGGGCTGCTCTGCAGAGCCCAGGTCGATGCATTGGGGCCGTCTTGGCCAGTGGGTGCGAAGGGTGGCGAGCAGCTGTATGGATTTGTGCTGACAAGGAGGGAGCATCGATGGCTCTGGAAGGCCAGAAAACTGGGAGAGCATTGCAGCGGGCGGATGAGGACAGAGAAGCAGGCTTGTGTCCAGTTTCGGCACTGGTGAGGCCGCACCTTGCGTACTTGTGTTCAGTGTTGGGCCCCTCACCCCAAGAAGGCCATGGAGGGGCTGGAGCGTGGCCAGAGCAGGGCAATGAAGTTGGTGAAGGGTCTGGAGCACAAGTCTTATGAGGAGCAGCTGAGGGAGCAGGGGTTGTTTAGCCTGGAGAAGAGGAGGCTGAGGGGAGCCCTTATTGCTCTCTACAGCTACCTGAAAGGAGGCTGTAGCGAGGTGGGGGTTGGTCTCTTCTCCCCACTAACAAATGATGGGACGAGAGGAAACGGCCTCAAGCTGCGCCAGGGGAGGTTTAGGTTGGATATTAGAAAAAACTTCTTCACTGAAAGGGCAGTCAGGCATTGGCACAGGCTGCCCAGGGCAGTGGTTGAGTCTCCATCCCTGGAGGTATTTAAAGGACGGGTAGACGTGGTGCTTAGGGACATGATTTAGTGGTGGGCTTGGTAGTGACAGGTTAACGGTTGGACTCAATGATCTTAAGGGTCTTTTCCAGCCTTAACGATTCTATGATTCAATGCTGCCTGCCCTTCTGGGGAAGGACACGAGGAGCATCCTTATGGCGATCTCCATTTGCCGGCGCTGCCCGCTGCTGGGGGATGCGGCAGAGCCCATCCTCGGCGTTCCCCACAGGCGCTCAGGAACGTGCAGGCTCTGGCAGAGGTGGCACATCTGGGGAGGAGAGGGTTTACTTCGAGTCAGCTGCTTCTGAGGTGTCTCCAGCTGATGGGTGCTGGGGCAGTCTCACATGCTGGGCAGTTTTTTGGCTCCGTGCAATTTTCATCGGATCTCTCTGGATGTGGCGAGTTGCACCCAGGAGAGGGAAGGGAGCGCCCTTGCTTCCTGGTGCTCTGGAGTCCTCCTCTCCTTGCATCCAAAAAGGAGCAATGTCTTAGTGTGTAATTAATTTAAAAAAAAAACACCCAAAACCAAAAAACAAACCACAAACAAACCAAAAAACTTGACCTCTTTTTCGAAATGTTTGAGAGATGAGCCACACTTGAGTTGCTACTGAAACTAAAACGTGCCCAAGTGTAAGCTGGGGTTTTCTATTCGTGTTTCTGCAGAAATCAGTGTTCCCTCACTGCTCTCCTGGCATTTGAGATTTGATGGGGTGTAGGACCGGTAAATCAGGTTAACTCTGCAAATATCTTGACTACTAGGAGACTATTTTGGGGTTGATGAAGAGAGTCTTTTCCCCCAGTAGTTTTCTTGATGTAAACAGATTCTAAAGTGTTTTTAACTTGACTACTGGCTAGCTCGAGCTGTGCACTGAGAGATGCCGTTTTCACAGGACTGATTTTCATTTCTATTTTTAAGAAAGAGCATAACCTATACCCAAACCAAGTACGAGAGGGGAGACTTTGCTGTTCCTTCTTGTGTGTAACTGAAGGAGCTCTGGTTTCCCCTCTATCCGTGTGTAGCTGGGACTATTTTAGTAACGAGCCGTGAGCTGGGACATAAGTAAGTACTGATAGACGTCACCTGGGCCAGCTTGCTGTCCTCATCCTGCTTCACTGGTGAGAAACCCGCCTAGTGATACTGGGTGGATTAGCGGCAGAAAGTGAGAGTAGAGCTCAATTGAGCTCTCTGCTCAATTACCACGTGGTGCTTAATTCTGCTAAAATACATGTATAGTGTAACATTAGGACAGAAGGGTCCCAGACCCGGCTGGACAGCTTGCCTCTAGCCTCTGCTCAGCCAAATCCAGCATTCCTATTTCTAGTTGGGTTTATAAAGTGTTGGTGATGTAGTAAACTTGCTTTGCGCGCACGGTACCCAGCTCCATCACCCCATGGAAAGAGCAGGCATGGGCTACGCTTGCATTGGTGCTCAGTATGGCCCTGTGCTGTTTATCTGTCCTGAAAATCAGATTTCTGTAGTCATCCTCTGTTACTGTAAGCTTCTGAATAATTCCGGCCTTTTCCGCTCACCATATTGTACCCGTATCACCCCTTGGATTTTTGTCAGCTCATGCACTGGCCTCTTGACAACTTCAACTTTGTAGAGCGGCAGTGGCGGCAAAGAAGCGCTTTTATCTGTT